AAAATGACCAGACCAAGAACAAAACAACCGAACAACGATCAGAACAATACCATACCACAAACAGACCAAGAACCAACCACTCTTGACCAAGAATAGACCGTGATGATTTTGTTGATTTTTTGAAAAGATTCATACCAGTCCAAAACAATGGAGAAATATACCATTTATAAAAGAGATAAAAAAATGTGTTAAAAAATGAAAAAAATCATCAATAGACCAAGGAAAAACTAAGAAAATACTACGAATCGACCACATTTGACCAAGAATAGACCATGATTATTTTGTTTGTTTTCTGAAAAGCTTCATACCAGTATAAAATAATGGAGAAATATCTCATTTATAAAAGAGAAAAAAAACCATCAACAGACTAAGAAAAGACCACGAACCGACCACACTTGACCAAGAATAGACTATGGTGATTTTTTTAATTTTTTAGAAAGCTTCATACCAGTCCAAGATAATGGAGAAATATCTCATTTATGAAAGAGAAAAAAACGTGTTAAAAAATGAAAAAAACCATCAATAGACCAAGAACATACCACTGTTGACCAAGAATGGACCACGATGATTTTGTTAATTTTTTGGAAAGCTTCATACCAATTCAAAACAATGGAGAAATATCTCATTTATAAAAGAGAAAAAAATGTGTTAAAAAATGAAAAAAAAAACCATCAATAGACCAAGAACAAATGAAGAATCGACCACTCTTGACCAAGAATAGACCATGATGATTTTGTTGGTATTTTGAAAAGCTTCATACCAGTCCAAAATAATGGAGAAATATCTCATTTATAAAAGAGAAAAAAAAACCATCTATAGACCAAGAACAGTCTATGAACAGACCAAGAAAAGATCACGAACGGACCATACTTGACAAAGAATAGACCATTATTATTTTGTTGATTTTTTGGAAAGCTTCATACCAGTCCCAAACAATGGAGAAATATACCATTTATAAAAGAGAAAAAAACGTGTTAAAAACTGAAAAAAAAACCATCAATAGACCAAGAACAGACCATTAACAGACCAAAAACAAACCAAGAACATACCATGAACAGACTAGACAAATCGATATCTAATAAATTTTTTTTTCACTTTTATAAATTTTAGATCATTGATTTATGACATTGATGTATATTACTGATCTTGAATTGAATATTTATTAATTTTTACAACATTAGTTAATTATATCTATCATAACACAACATAGCTTTATTTTATACATGATGTCTTACATAATATATAGAATTACGTTTTTACTTCTTACGCATAACGTTTAATTAAATATTTTTTCTAACATAATTATATTGTTTCATCAATATATGGATAAAGTCATGTCTTAATACCGAAAAAATAAAAAAATATGTTAAAATGTATTTTTTAAGTTTTATTGGGCTCTGTGCTTAGTATGTGCTTAGTATGTTCTTGGTCTGATTGGTCTGTTCTTGGTTTGTTCCTGGTCTATTCTTGGTAAGGTTGGTCTGTTCTTGGTCTGTTCTTGGTCTGTTCTTAGTCTGTTTGGTCTGTTCTTGATATGGTTGGTCGATTAACGGTTTGTTCTTGGTCTATTGATGGATTTTTTCATTTTTTAACACGTTTTTTTTTCTCTTTTACCAATGGGATATTTATCCATTGTTTGGGACTGATATGAAGCTTTCTAAAAAATTAATAAAATAATAATGGTCTATTGTTGATCAAGTGTGATTGATTCGTGGTCTTTTCTTGGTATGTTCTTGGTCTATTGATGGTTTTTTTTTTATTTTTAACACTTTTTTTCTCTTTTACAAATGGGATACCTCTCCATTGTTTTGGACTGGTATGAAGCTTTCTAAAAAATCAAAAAAAAAAATATCATGGTCTATTCTTGGTCAATGGTGGTCGGTTCTTGGTCTATTCTTGGTATATCGATGGTTTTTTTTCATTTTTTAACACGTTTTTTTTCTCTTTTATAAATGGGATATGTCTCCATTGTTTTGGACCGGTATGAAGCTTTCCAGAAAACACACAAAATTACCATGGTCTATTCTTGGTCAAGAGTGGTCGGTTCTTGGTCTGTTCTTGGTCTATTGATGGTTTCTTTCATTTTTTAACACGTTTTTTCTCTTTTATAAATGTGATATTTCTCAATTGTTTTGGACTGGTATGAAGCTTTCAAAAAAATTCATCATGGTCTATTCTTGGTCAAGAGTGGTCGGTTATTGGTTTGTTTGTGATCTATTTTTGTTCTGATCGTTGTTCGGTTGTTTTGTTCTTGGTATGTTCTTGGTCTAGTCATTTTGTTCTTGGTCTGGTCATTCTGTTAGTGGTCTGGTCTTGTTTTATATCATGTTTAATTACACATTTATAAATTGATGGTTTTTTTTTTGCATTTTTTTTTATTTTTTAGTAACGTTTTTTTTCTCTTGTAATGATATGTTCTTACACTTATGTGTTATGTTATAAAAATTTGGGCATTATTTTTCCATAATTATAAGCTTTTCCAAAGTCAAAATTACTTGTTGAATACATTTTACAACTAAGAACAGATCAAGAAAAAGACCATATAATAAGAATAGACTACGAACATACCATATAATAAGAACATACAAAGAACAAACCATATAATAAGAACAGACTAAGAACATACAATATAATAAGAACAGACCAAGAATAGATTATATAATAAGAACAGACCAAGAACATACTATATAATAAGAACAGACTAAGAACAACCTATATAATAAGAACAAACCAAGAACAAACCAAGAACATATGAAGAACAAACTGTTTTTCCTAAACCCAATAGATCTTCTTCATATCAAGCAATGTAAACCCGTCTTTTACCATGTAAAAATACAATTTGAATGGTTTTTTTTAACATTTTTAACTACATTCTCATCTTAAAAACAAATGAACAACAACAAAAAAATACCATGAGAGATATAGAAAAAGAAAGACTTATTTAGTAGCTCTTCTTCAAACTTCGTTTTGGACGAGAAAAAAGCGTTGAATGGGCAAGATAATATTGTTAATGAGATTGTGCGACGACGAGGACTTGAGAAGAGGAGAGAAGAAATGGAAGGTGGATGGGAGAAGAAAATGACGCGAAATGGAATAGGAGGAAAAGAAAGAAACCTCGAAAAACATACTTGATGACGTGGAATGGCTGATGTGGAAGTTGGCCTATTTACCTAATTTATTTTTTTGTAATTTATTTACTTAAAAACACTTTTTACTTAGTCTATTTATCCAACAGACCCTTTTTAAAAAGCTTTCAACGTCTGCGGGTTTTTTTTAAGAATTTTTTTAATTTTGGTTTTTATTAATTATATGTTCTTGTTATTTTACCAATACACCTTCTTAAATTAGAGCACATGCTTTGTACATGTCGCAATCTGTTAAAAGTCTAACAGAATTAGATAGAAAGGACTTAACTGGCAACATATTAATGACATGTTTACTTATCAAAGTGAGGAATGAGAATTAGGAATCATAATCAACCCCGTGTTTACTTATCTATTTTTATCTTGGAATGAGAGTAGGAATGTGTGGGTTCCACGCCAATTTGAGATTGATAAATGAGATTAACACTTCCCCCACCTCCTACCGGATTGGCATTCTCAATCCTGATAGTAAATATGAATTACAATTTTATCCTTAATTCTACTAACAAATTTGTGAATAGAAAAGTAAAAAGTAAAAAATTAAAAATGCTCCAATTTACTTTCACCCCTCTCGTATCTCCTTGCTCACTTCCTCTAATATTTTTTTCTCCTCAAAATACATCATTGCATCCACAAAAATCAAGAGCATCTTTCTTCTCTTCAAGGCGAGTCAATTACATAAATTACGTGGTTCTTTTTTATTGAATCGTAAGTTTATTTTTTTATTTTTATTTTTTTGTGTTAATTTGTTGAATTTGTGATCAAACCATGTTTTGCCCCTTGATTGCACAACATCATTTCAAGGATTCGTGGAGATCCAAACTATTACAATTTCTAATTACTAATTAAAAAAATCTAAGTGTGATTAAAAAAATCTAATTACTAATTAGTTATCTTAATATTAAGATTGTTAACATAATATAAATTTTTGTTAAGTTCAACACACAAAAATTTACTAAAGGGGTAGGTGAGTAAATTTATAACAGTTTATGCGATTCTGGGTGTAAATAAATGCATGAATGAGATTGAGACTGATTCTGACTTTGATTCTTGAAAGCTAAGTAAATAGCTTATTCTGACTCCTATTCCTGTCCACTCTGATTCATATCCACTCTGATTCATTTTTTAAGATTTTTTTAATTTTGGTTTTTATTAATTATATGTTCTTGTTATTTTACCAATACACCCTCTTAAATTATAGCACATGTCACAATCTGTTAAAAATCTAGCAGAATTAGATAGAAAGGGCTTAATTGCCAACATATTAAGAGTTTAAGAACCGTTTTGTTGAAACTGAAAAAAAAAAAAATCAAACTATTACTTTCTAAATAAATTAGAGACCATTTATGCCAATTACTTCAAAAAAAATATTTAAGACATTAAAATATTTTAAAAAAACAATAAAATAAAAAATTCATAATTTTTTTAGACCTATTAAATTTTAATTAATTAAATAAAAAATACTAAAATCATTTTATATATTAAAAATTAATTCAAAATATTAAGAAAATATTTTTAAAAATGTGAAAATACCCGTCACTTTATTTATTTATGGAGAGACCACACTATTTTAATATTATAAAAAATGCAAGATAATCGTAACACATATTCTCCAAAATGGCGGTAAGTTTTTCAATTTCAAAAATAACCCGTTCATTTTACTGATTTAAGTTTAAAATTTGAGTTGAGATGTGACTTTATATGAGAATTTTTTACTATAATAAAAAAATTAAATGTAATTATTTATGAGAATTTTTTACTGTAAAAAAATTCAAATTCTAAACTCGAATATGCAAAGTGAACGGGCCTAAATTATCGTCTTTTCCATGACGTGAAGATAATACGAGATTCCAGAACAAAGAAGCAGGAACATTCAAGAAAAGCAGCTTCAGAGAAAGCGAAATAATCGCTCACTCAGCTTCAGAAGCTCGAAAATGGCAAAACCTCCAGAACTCAACCCTTTTTCTTCCTCATCCATCTTCTCACAGAAAACCTCTAGGCTCCCAGACGACACTGTTTTCTACGCCATCTTCCCAGACACCTCTCTTAACTCTTCCGCCGCCGTCGCCGCCGCGTCGCTCCAGTCGCTTCACCTCCAAATCCTCGAAACCCTCTCTCCCTTTACCGCCGACTACATATGGCAGCACGAGCCCTTCAATCTCTCCGTCTCTTCCGCCCCCAAACCCTCCTGCCTCTGCTCTGACCACCTGCCTCACCTCCACGGCAAGCTCCGTTACGGCGACAATCTCGAAGACGAGTGGTTTGTCGTCTTCCTCCTCTTCGAAGCTTCTCGAAGATTCCCCGACCTCTCCGTGAGGGTTTGGGACACCGACGGCGAGTTCTTGCTCATCGAGGCCGCCTTCCACCTCCCTCGTTGGCTCAACCCCGACAATAGCCTCCATCGCGTCTTGATCCGCCGCGGCGACCTCCATATCGTCCCCAAAGATCGCTTGCCTAGCCCTAACTTGGAAGATTCGTTGAAATTCGTCGCCAATTGCGGCGAGGAATCGAGGGCGGCGGAGTCAGTCCAGGCCGTGGTGAAGAATCGGATATCGGAGTATCCAGAGAGGGCCAGGATGAATGTACATATGGTCAGGGTTAGGGTTCCGGCGTCGGTGGCGCAGGTGCTGAAGCACGAGCCGTGCCTGATTTCACTGGCGGTTGAGGGCTTCTACGACCGGGACATCGACACGATGAAGTACGCGGCGAAGATGGAGTGGTTCTTGGTGAAAGGGAAAGATGAGGAATTGGTGAGAGTTTCGGTGAGAATGTCGAGGGCGATGTACGCCCAGCTGGTGCAGCAGACTTTCCAGGCGCCCAGGTGTTATCCAATGCCGAGCCGGAGCGACGCCGCGGCGTACATCGAAGCCGAATTGGGGATGAAAATAGCGTGCGGGTTTGAGATGATGTATCAGCAGAGGAAGAGGGAGGGTTTGGAAGGCAAAGGAGGTACTTGGGAGGCGTTTAGAGAGAGTTTGGAGAGGAATGGCTATTTCGAAGGGCTGCTTCCGGGTTCGCAAGAGTACCGGAGGTTGATGCAAAATGCGAAGGAATATTACAGGAGTAGGTCTTTGTTCTCGAGGGCCAGGTTTTGTTTTCTCAACTCTGCATGAAATTTGATGTGCTTGCAGCTTTTGCTGTGGAAAATTGATATGCTGGAACTGTGCATAAAATTTGATGTGTTTTCATTTTTTTAGTTGTGGAATTATGATGTGCTATAACTCTCTATCAAATCTGACATGTTTTCCTTTTTTGTTGTGGAATTATGATGTGCTATAACACTGCATGAAATTTGATGTGTTGGGTTTTCATTTTTGTTATGAACATGCGATATGATAGCAAGAAGCTAGTTTCTGTTGAATTCCAAATATAATCATGACGCCATCATGAAGATTCTTATTGCAAATGATTAGATTTAGGATGATCTTTTCTGGTTCGACGGCTTGAGTTATTAATAATAGAGATTATATTCTTTTGTAGGACTTTGTTTTCTGTTTCATGTTTATTGGTCTTGCTAATTTGTTAAGATGTTACCAACGTTGCAGTGAGATGATGAGTGCTCCAGTAAGGCGCATAGATGAGATTCTTGCTTTGCCTTATTCAGAAGATGATTTCAAGGGGCAGGAGGTACCTCCTTCTGACGACGATTCTTGGCTTTACAATGGAGAAGATGATTTGAACTCTGCTCTTTCGGAGAGACAAAGAGAGCTTGAACTTTATGAGGCAAAACATAAGAACAAGCAGAAGTCGAAGATGCAGCAAGATACAGGTGAATTGTCGAATACAAATGTTGATGAGTTTGATCCTAGTGAAATAGCAAAAACCATGAAGGCATTTGTCCGTAAGGTGTCGAGCTACAAAGGAGCTGAGGTTCCTGAGAACAGGTTTGTATTATATCTGATTCACATTTTCACCAAAAAAATACAGAATATTTTAGCATGTACTCTTTTTCTCTCTTTTTTTTTTTGGGATACGGAAAAACACTTTATATTGATGTGAATCAAATATAAAGGCAAGACGACAAGGTATCCTCGAGAAGCAAAAATAAAATCTCAAAACATCAAAACAAACCAAATAAAAGGAAAACTTAGTGATCGATTCCATCCATCCAATTAATAAATAATCGAAGTGAAGGGGTAGCCTTAAAGCTCTCTGTTTGTCGAGGAAGAGTACTTTGCCTTCTCAAACAAATCCTCCCTCGGTCCACCCCCATCTCTGTTTATCATCAAAGATTCGTGAGCGAGATCACCATACACTTCATAAGACCTATGCCATTCTATTTGACACAAAACCAACCATCTCTTCCATCACTAAAGAATGCAATGTGCCGGAAACACCCATTGAGAACTTGCCTCTATGAACAGCTTGTGCAATAATTCCCTAGCCACACTACAATGCAACAGAAGTGCATGCACTTCTACTGCTAATACTCTATGTTTCATAAATTTGGCTGCAGAAAGCAACGTGTTGTCCGTATTGTGCTGGATTTATCATCTTCATTTTGAGTTTGCCTTTTTCCAGGCTTCTAACTGTAATATAACAATTATGCGCATGTTAATATAGCGTGCTGGTATAAACACATTATGATTCTTACTATGATTCTTTTCCCATTTTCTTAAGAGCTGGCATAATGTTCTATCTACAATATGGGATGAAATGTCTTATGTACTGAATCTTGTGATTAAAGTGGCTGGAATAAATCTGCATCAATGAAAGTCACCAAGCCATGCCTGAAGTGACAAGTCTTCGTTTCTTTTGTCTTTGTATTTTAAGGAATAAATCTGATTGTATTCTGTAATTTTTCTTTTGAAGGAACCTAAAAGAAGTAGATTTAGATATGAATCGCTTCATTAGAGACATAGAATCAATAATGAAGCACCAAGGTTTTGAAGACATTGCTAGTGGCGACAATATTGAAGAGGGGTCTTCGTCTGACTTGGATTTTGGTAAAGTTTGCATCATGTTTTACTTGATTGAATTGACAGTTCTCATTGTTGCATGAATTATTTTTACTAGTGCAAATGTTAATTAGACGCTGCAGAATCTATTAGTCATCTCTTTTCTCTGGTTGCTAATTGTTAAGCTCCAAGCCAACAACTAGTTGAATTATGACAAAATTAAAAGAGAAATGCTAACAGGAAAGCTTCGATTAGTATTAATAGTGGAAATCGGTTACAGAAAGAATATGGGGATATTTGAGAGATCCCTTGCTCTTCCTAGACTATCTTCTCTTAGAAGTTCACAAACTGATTGAATACTCCCTTATTCTGCCTCTGTTCTATTTATACTCACTATCTCTTATTCCTTTCACCAAACCCAAGGACTAACTAACTACTAACTACTTGCTGACTTAGCCACACCCTTCTTCCTTTCCTTGAGTGCCCCCTCCACCTCAGCAACCCCTTGAGTTGTCCCTCCACTTGCACTTCCCATTCTAGTTCCTTCAGCTCCGACCTTGTCACATGGTGGCGCTTCCTTCGAGCATATGTATAACGCACGGGAGGCTTATCATTACCCCCGCCCCAAAGACGCACCTTGTCCTCAAGGTGAAAATGAGGAAACTGCGCATCAATGGCAGCATATGATTCCCAGGTATCCTCGTGGTCATGCAAATGGGCCCAACGAATCAACACTTCTAAGTCGGTGCTGCCCCCGTGAAGCTTGCGGCGCACCCCCAGTAGCGCAGCCGGCTCAGTGCACAACTCTAAGTCACTTGTCAGTTGAGGTGGTAGAGATGAAACGGCCTGCCCCTCCCCCACTGCCCTACACAGCTGAGAAACATGAAACAAAGAATGTAGTAGCTGACTCTGGCAAAGCCAAGCGATAAGCGACTAGCCCCACACGATGCGTGATCTGAAAAGGGCTCAACTTTTCATTACGGCGGTGAGCCAACGAGACTTGACGGTAAGGACGAAGCTTCAGGTACACCAAGTCACCCACGGCAAATTCCACATCCTGTCTTTTACTATCTGCTACCGCCTTCATCTTCTGCTGAGCACGAAGAAGGTGGAACTTAAGTAAATCCAACATGGCATCCCGATCCCGTAGCTGCCGCTCCACCGAATCCACCGGTGAAGTCCCCACACTGTACCGTAGCAAAGGCGGAGGAAGTCGGCCATAAATCGCCTGAAAAGGGGTCATTCGGGTGGCAGTGTGGAATGAAGTATTGTACCAATATTCTGACCAAGACAACCATTTACGCCACTGCCCCGACTTATCAGAGGTAAAGCACCGCAAATAAGTTTTCACACCTATTAACCCCTTCGGATTGCCCATCGGACATTGGATGGTACGTTGTACTGCGCGAGAGAGTAGTACCCATCTGTTTGTGCAGGTCAGTCCAAAAACGGCTAAGAAAAATACGGTCACGATCCGATACAATGGTGCGAGGGACCCCATGCAACCGCACTACCTCCTGGATAAATAGCTTGGCGACCTTTTCCGCAGAAAATGGGTGCGTCAAAGCGATAAAGTGGCCATACTTGCTTAAGCGGTCAACAACCACCAAGATAGTGTCGTACCCCTCCGAGCGAGGTAGGCCCTCAATAAAATCCATGGACACATCTTCCCACACCTGCTCGGGAATGGGCAAAGGCTGCAGTAGCCCACCAGGGGCCAATGTGGATGCTTTACATCGTTGACATACCTCACTGTGCCACATACGCGGTTACATCTCGTTTCATCCCAAGCCAAAATCAATCGGGCGTGAGTCGGCGGTAGGTCTTCAAGCCCCCCGAATGGCCACCCAACACCCCGTTATGATATGAGTGTAACAAAACGTTGTACAACCGGAGAAGTACGAGCCACCACCATTCGTCCCTTATACAACAAGCGGCCTTGTCGGACCGAATACCCCGGGTATGTTGCCGGGTTGGGTAATCTGACCAAATTTTCGCTAGCCGTTCATCTTGCAACACTTGCTGATGGATTTCTTCGGTATTGACAAAAGTAGATGTTGTCATGGCGGCCATAGCTGGGCTGACTGCTAGCCGTGACAATGCATCCGCTGCTCTATTCTCCACCCCAGGCCGATACTGGATCTCGAAGTCATACCCCAGTAGCTTGGTAAGCCACTTTTGATGTTCCATGTTAACTAAACGCTGCTCTAACAAGTACTTAAGGCTACGTTGATCCGTTCGGATAAAAAAATGATGCCCAAGAAGATACGGCCGCCACTTTTGAACTGCCAGAATAATGGCCATCAACTCACATTCATAAACTGACTTGTTCTGCGTTGAGTGGATAGGATTTGGCTAAAATAAGCGATAGGGCGCTGATCTTGCATCAAAATTGCCCCCACTCCAAATCCTGAGGCATCTGACTTGAGAACAAATGGCTTTGTGAAATCTGGAAAAGCTAGCACCGGCACGCGTGTCATGGCATACTTTAACCCTTCAAAGGCCTGCATTGCCTCCGCATCCCATCGAAAACTATCCTCCCGGAGCAAGTTAATTAAGGGCCCTGCAATTTGACTATACCCTGCTACAAACTTCCGGTAATAACCCGTCAATCCGAGAAATCTCCGTAATTCCTTCAAGTTGGCGGGAGGCGGTCAATTAACCATGGCCTTTATTTTGCCGGATCAGCCGAAACTCCCTCAGCAGATACAATATGGCCAAGATACTCAATTGAACGCTGCCCAAAACTATACTTCTTAGCATTGGCATATAATTATAAATGAGTATATCATCGAAAAAAACAAGTACGAACTTACAGAGGAAAGCGCGTAGAATGTCATTCATAAGCGATTGAAAAGTCGCCGGAGCATTCGTAAGTCCAAAGGGCATAACGAGAAACTCGTAATGGCCCTCGTGTATGGAATGCTGTCTTCGGCACGTCCTCGGCTTTCATTCTAATTTGATGATAACCCGACTTAAGGTCGATCTTGGAGAAAATTGTGGCCCCATGTAACTCATCTAAAAGTTCTTCTATCACCGGAATAGGAAAATGATCGGAAACCGTCTCTCTATTCAAAGCGCGGTAATCCACGCAAAATCTCAAACTTCCATCTTTTTTCTTTACTAACAAAACTGGACTAGAATACGGACTGACACTTGGCTGTATTATGCCTGCCGCTAACATCTCCCCAACCAACTTCTCAATTTTTGTTTTCTGTTTGTGAGGAGGGTACCGGTATGGTCTAACACTTATAGGGGAAGTCCTTTCTTTCAAAGCAATTGCATGGTCTTTGGTTCTAACCGGTGGCAGTCCTTCTGGCATTTCAAAAACTTCCTCATATCTCCTCAGCACCATTTGCAATTCCAGAGGAACTTTCTCCTCTTTGACAAATTGTTCCACACCAAGAGTCCCTAACTCTACCCAAACCCCTCGTCCTTCATGTCTCAAAGCTCTCATTAAAGCGTTGAGAGTAACCGGCGACTTGTTTAACCCCGGATCTCCTCTTAATGTGATATGCCTTTCTCCCAAACTGAACTTCATAAGCAAAGTCTTCCCAATTCATAGACATGACCCTTAAGGTTTCCAACCATTGGATTCCTAATATCAAATCCGAACTCCCTAGTTCTAATGGCAAGAAATCTTCAACAATTTCAATCTCTTGCATGGAAATCACCACTCCCCGGCAAATGCCCTCGCCTCTCACAGCTAACCCCGTTCCCATCACCACTCCATGTCCGTCTTATCCATTGGCAATTTCAATTTCTGAACCAAGTCACATGAGATGAAATTGTGGGTGGCCCCACTGTCTATTAAAACAATTACCTCACATCCTTGGACGACCGCCTTAAGCTTCATGGTTTTCGGTGCTGTCAGACCAACCACCGAATTGAGGGATAATTCCACCATCTCCTCTTCTTCTGGCGGCTCATCCCTTTCTACCTCCGCTTCCCCTTGATCTTCCTCTTCTCGGACTATCAAGACTTGCAGCTCACGGTTCGGACAACGATGGCCTACGAAGTATTTCCCGTCACACCGGTAACACAGACCTTTCTCTCTCTTTGCTTGTAACTCGGCATCGGTCATACGCTTGAATGGCACTGCTCCGGTCCCAATACTAGTGCCCTGGAAGTTGTTAGGCCCCCTTTAGATTCATTTAATAAATTTCCTTTACCCTAACTTGAGTACTGTGGGCCTTGCACTTTTGGGCCACGTACCAAAAGGTTACACTCTTCCACCCTCTGGGCTACTTCTATAATACGACCCAATCCCTTAGGCTTTATCAATATGATTTCTGCACGTGCCTCTGGTTTCAAACCATTCATGAAGGAACTCTCCAGAACCTGCTCAGAAATGTCCCTCAATGGCGCCGCCAAGACCTCGAATTGCCTCCGATATTCCCTCACCGACGTTTCCTGCTGTAGCGACAAAAGTTTTTCACACAGGCTGCCTTCCTGCGTAGGTCGGAAACGCTCAAGGATCATCACCTTCAATTCCGCCCAATTTCGAATCACCTGCCAGCCATCCTCCCATTGAAACCACGCCAAGGCTTCTGCGTCAAGACTTACAACAGCTACATCCAATTTCTCATTCTCCGATAATCCATTCATCGCAAAATACCTCTCGGCCCTAAAACCCAACCATCGGGATTTTTGCCGTCAAACGTCGGCATCTCAACTCGCCGGGTCGGACAGTCCACGCGAACTCCAGATTCTCGCGGAGCCCTAACTCTCTCGCTCGTCTCTTCCCCTAGCGCCATCTGTTTTGTCGGTACATCCATTCCGGCCGTATGAGAATCCTGATGCTCATGGCTCTGTAATTTCATCAATTCCTCCATTCTTGACAACAACAAGTCCATACCTTGCTCCAGCCGAGGGATCTTCCTCAATTCCTTTCGCACCTCCTCTAATTCCTTCGCGGACTCTTCTCTCGTTCCTTCAGCTCTCTCCTTTTCACGGTCGTCGGGTCTCCTCGTCATTCCAGAAAAGTGCTCTGATACCAAATGTTAAGGTCCAAGCCAACAACTAGTTGAATTATGACAAAATCAAAA